GATTCCAATCCCAGCTCTAACTTTGCTGGCTGGGCGACTTGAGGACTTGAGAGTTTCCTTAATCTCTAATTCTTAGTGTCTTTATTTTTAAAACAATCTCCACAAGATAGCTGTAAAGGTTAGGAGACATAAAAAATGTAAAATATTTAGTATCTGTGCCTGGAATATAATAAGTACTAAAAAATAAACCATTGTATTGATAATATGTTTTCACTTTTCACTGAGTGTTATGGCATTATATCAATAACAGCCTCAAACTAATCAGAAAATCACAGTTCCTTATTACAACTAAGCATCCGTGAGACAAAAAAGAACATCATTAATGATATAACCATTAAAAATAAAACAAAACAAAATGACTTATTAAAACTCTAATGGCTAAAATGAACCTCAGGAAATGACCTTCATTACATTTGCCATAACTGAGCAAACGTGGTCTTTTCCCTCCTCAATCTCAATAACCTGAGCAGATTCAGGACATACACAGATATTACCATGAACACACAGGAGGAGAAAATTGAATTTTTCCAAAAACTGAGAAGGAATAGTAAGAAAACACTACCAAGGTAGCTAAATAACAATATACTCTGAAGAAAAGAGACAGAAGACATTGATTTTGAGTTGTGCTTTTCAGAAAAGCCAAAATAAATTATTGGGGAGACACTTGAACAACTCAGAAAAGCCAAAAGAAATTATTGGGGAGACACTTGAACAACTCATTCAGCACATATTTCCCACCCCCCAACCCCCACCCTGCACCCAACTTCATTTTTCCTGATTTAATAAAGTAATTGAGAAAATAGAAGCCTGAATTCCCAGGTTTGGCAGTGTGGCTTGCAGTCACTTGAAAAAGGGGAAATGGTCATTCTATGGTAGCTATTAAAAACTGGGGCACCTGGGAGGCTCAGTTGTTAAGCATCTGCCTTTGGCTCAGGTCCTAATCCCAGGGTCCTGGGATCGAGCCTTGCATCAGGCTCCCTGCTCAGCGGAGAGTCTGCTTCCTTGCTTGTATTTCCTCTCTCACTGTCTCTCTCTGTCAAATAAATAAATAAAATCTTTAAAAAAAAAAAAAAAAGAAAAGCTGAACAAGATGATACTTTTTAAAACATCAGTTAAATGGTAAAACAGAATTATGCCCATTAATACACTTTAGTATCTTTTTTGGTATTGTGTATTATAATTAAACATACTAAAAAGCTTTAATTTCTTTTTCTATCTTCTTAAATCTGTCATACAAATATTGCTGATTCAAAAAGCTTCCTCAGTAGCAAAAAAACTGCTGCTGTGGTCTTGAACTAAGTGTTCAGAAAGGAATTTAAGGGAAGGGATGTATGAAACACCTCCTCGTGCTCCTCTATATACATTATCTCATGAAAAGGTGCAATAGCTTCATGAAGTCATTCAATAAAAATAAAAAGAAAAGCTCAGAGAGATTAAATAATTTTCCAAGATCACAAAACTAATAATAACGGTTATGCTAACTAATATTTTTTGAATTACATCCTCAATTCACAAAACCTGAAGGTGGATGTCATTATTACATTGTTTTAAAAATAAGAAAATAGGGGGACCCTGGGGTAAGCTTCTGCCTTCAGCGCAGGTCATGATCTCAGGGTCCTGGGATCGAGCCCCGCATTGGGCTCTCTGCTCAGCAGGGGGCCTGCTTCCCCCTCTCTCTCTACCTGCCTCTCTGCTACTTGTGATCTCTCTCTCTCTGTGTCAAATAAATAAAATCTTTAAAAAAAAAATAAGAAAAGAGAAGTTAAGTAACTTGTCTGGAGTCACACAGCTGGCAAGTGAATAAGTTAAGTTTAACCCACATGATTGGAGTCCAGAGACTGCCTCTTGGTGTTGGCTCCTTCCCTCCCCATACTCTCGCTCTTAAGAGACCATCTAGTTCATCCTAGGCAAATGAAAATGCTTAGTATACAATTCTGCATAGAACTGGTGCTCAATGAATTATTATCATTAAAGTGAATCTTTCTGGGCACCTGGGTGGCTCGGTGGGTTAAAGCCTCTGCCTTTGTCTCAGATCATGATCCCAGGGTCCTGGGATCGATCCCCACATCGGGCTCTCTGCTCAGCAGGGAGCCTGCTTCTCCGTCTCTCTCTGCCTTCCTCTCTGCCTACTTGTGATCTCTGTCTGTCAAATAAATAAATAAAGTCTTTAAAGTGAATCTTTCTTATTTTTTCTAAGAAATTCAATACAAAAAGGAAAATGCATTTAGAACATAATAATTTCCTGTCACTTCCTTTTCAACTGGAAATTCTAAGTGATGATACAATGGAAGTATTATTCAATATTATCTCATTTATTTATCCCAGAAATATTCAATGAGCCCTGGATTATGAGCATACCGATGAAAAAAGGAAAGAAAGAAACACAAAGATGTTGACCATGGCATTAAGGATTAATTATCTGCTGGCTAGGAGTAGTTCACAGGGCCCCAATAATTACCAGTGGAAGCGATCTCTTTATTAACTGAAATCCAACCCAATTCTTTTATTTGTTTTATTTGTATTTATATTTCACTTGACTTTATTTAGTCCTCACAAAACCTGTGTGAGGTAGGTTTCCCAGCCCGCCTTCACAGATGAAGGGACGGTCATTTGTCATTTAGCTTGCTCAGGCTCACAGAATCTCAGTCTCCTAACCCTAAACCCAGCACTCTCTCCAAGAGCTGACAATTGCTTCTTAGTTTCAGGGATTCAGAACCTATTGCCAAATCAGAGTCTTCAGACATGAGCCTGTTTTCTGACCCAGAATCATTAAGTGGAAGAGAGACCAGCATTCCAGGAGGAAAGACATTACAGTAAATGCTATGATAAGTATGTAGGTAATGGTACTGTAAATGCTTCCCTAAGTTAACTATGGCCACTTATTTAGGTAATTGTACACTAGTGAAAGTGGGATACCTTTTGACCATGGTTGGACACAGAACATGAGCTGGCAATGTTAACCAGGGGCCTCAAGCATTTACATGGCCTTAGGATCATGGCCTGGGTCTGGCCCACAATGGATCCACTGAGTCCATGGACCCATCCAAGTTCCTGATATTTCATTGGCTCACCCATTCATGGTGATGGGTATAACCCTCTACATTGTTCCTTAGCCAATGGGGTATAAGTTACCATAGTGGAGAAGGCCAAATGAAAACCCTATAACGTTACCACCAGACAAGACAAATCTCAAGTCCTATCTAATTAATTGAAAATCATGGATTCACGGAGGTGGGAGTGGGGGGCACAGTTAGTTCTCAAAAGGTTCCAACAACATAAGCCAAATCAAAAATAACTTCACAGGTTGATAAAGCTCCCTCCATTGCTAGAGAAATTGAAATTTAGTTATGGGAGTTAGCAAATACTGTCTTTTTCTTTCTATGTATCATTAGATATTCTTCCAACACAATGAAATGCATATAATTCTTAGACATTGCAAACAGATTTTTTCTTCTTCGAAATTTATTTTTATCTATAGGTAATGCAAATGCTATGGTATCACTCACTGATCATCAGTTTTTGAGTCCGTAACAACTTCATATGCCTTGATTAACCTTGAAACCATGTGGAGGAGGAAAATCCCAAGAAAATTTAAATGTGGAGTCCAGAGTTTGGGGAAAATGCCCAAATCATATCAATGGCATCATCATTCAATTTTCTATGTAAAAAGGGATTTATCCTAAAAAGAACAATCCAATATTCATGCATAAACACAAATACCTACATTTTTATTTTTATGACTTTAGACAATAAAGCAAAATGATTATTCAGTGGAACTCTCAGATTTTACACAAGAGACTAATGTATTTGTACCCACAGTCCAAAACTATATTAAACACTACAGGAAATATAAAACGCCAAAAATGTACTGCATCCTTTCAAAGAACTAACATGGAATTCAGGTCTCAGCAGTATTAGAGTATGTAGTTAAATTTAAAATAGACTTCAAGGACTGGAAAAGCACCAAAAATAGTTAGAAAAATGTGAAAGAGATTGGTATCTGGCGTCAAACTGAGTGGATTCAACCCCAAATCTCCCTAGTTCTATAGCTTCAGTTAGTAATTTCCCTTCTCTGAGCTTCACTTTCCCTCTCTGTAATGTGAGTTCTTATGAAGATTAACTGAGGTCAGAGAAAGAATTCAGCACAGAGCCAGGCACATAGGAAGTACTCCGTGCATATTAGCTGTTCTTATTTCTATTATGTATTATTCAGGAAACAGTTCCAAGTGAAAAAGAGGAATATCGCTCGTCAACAAAATTAGGTTCTCTCAGACACTAAGAAAACCTTCGGCAGTTGGCATCATCTTTCCAAATTCCCTACCAACAGCCCCTAGGAATAATCTGATGAGGTTGAACATTGGATACAATTAGTATAATACATCACAAAGGCGGCTGCCCCAAACATGTCCTCGCAGGCCGCGAGCCCTCTGTTTTTCCTCTCCCGTAACCAGGATCATCATCATTTATCCCCACCATTCAGTTTTTCTTCACTCTTGTCTTATCTTTTAAAAAAATTATTAATAATAACAATAGCAGTAATAGTAATAATAATAATAATAATATGTTTTAAAATCTACTTTTTACTTCTGTGGTAACTTTGCGATACGGGCCCTGGAAGCACAGGATGTTTGGAACACAAACAACTCAACAGGGCCCTGCTGAACCAGCCAATATGAAAGGGACCACTCCCTAAGTCAGTAAGAAGTGCTGTTAGTCTCATGCTCCCGCCCCTTGCCTTTTTTGCGCAGTGCTGAAATGAAAAACCTTCTTGCGCCTTGCAAGAGAACATAATGTGCATTGATAAAACATGTTTATGCTTTCAAATATTTTGATTCACTGGGCAGACATGTTACTACGGCAGTAATTTTTAGTGACGTGTCATTGAAAGTAAATTATTTTCAATCATTTTCATGCCGCGTATTAACTGAATAAACCTGACGCTGGTAAAATGATGTTTAACTCTTGAACCTTAGAAAAATTATAGTGACCAGGTTTCTTACCTACAACAATGCCATAGGAAAAAAACAGAAAGTAGATATTGGGGGCAAAACTGCTCAACATCAGGCCTCCAGCTACCATGAAGCCACTGAAGATTGTCACAGGTCTTGCTCCAAAGGAGGAGACACAGAGGCTGCAGACAGGACCTAAAATAATAAATGAAACCTTCACTTATTTAACAATAACCTCCTTCCCACAATCATAAGATCCATCCCATCATAAATTCAAAATGATTCTTTCCATCATACAATAACAATAAAGTAAACATCTACCATGTGTTTACTACGTGCCAGACACTCTGCCAGATACTTCATATAAACAATCACATTTCATTTTAATCTCACTGCAGCCCAGGAAGGTAGATACTACCTCATTTTTTGATCAGGAAATTAAAGTTTCCGGATAGTAAGTTTCCACATAGTTAAGAAATAGGCATTCTGGAGTCAGACCTTATTCAAATTCGAGTTCTAATATTTGCTGGCAATATGATCTCAGGCAACTGTTCTGATCTCTCTGTGCCTCAGTTTCCTCATCTGATGACTGTAATGACTGTAGTGACAGTACCACCTCATAGGGTTACCATGATGACAAATGAGAGCACAGATGTCAAGCTGATCCCAAGGCCGGACACAAGGACGTCCCCAGTCACTGCCAGCTCTTCAGTGATGAGAACAGCAGCAGCCACCAGAATAGTAACAGAAGAAGACGTAAAACCCATGCAGTCTGACTCCTGAGTCCAGCATCTTATCCATCATATTATGCTGCGGATTTTGCCCCCTGCATGTTCCATGCATTTTTACTACCCAGCGCTCCTTTCCAGCGCAAGGGCGATCATACACTGATGAGGAAAACAAGCTTGATGACTGACTGAACACAACCAATCATGACCCTATAGAGGGATGCAGGGGGTGGTTATTCATTTCCTAGAGAATATTCTGGCAGGTGAGGCCAAATGGAGAAGCACCGCCCCCATATTCCAGTATGAGTCCACCAGTACCACTGTCCTACAGTCTATGTGCAACCCGGAATTTGTGAGAGGAAGTACACTGTTGAGTGACAGGTAACAGTGAGGCTACCTGGATCTTATGGAAAAGTGGGCGACATGGATAACCATGGCAAGTAATGGGACTTAAGCGATAGTGAAATTCTCTCCCACTAGAAGTGTACCTAGAAAGCACCTACAACTACAGAGCTGAGCTTATCAGAAATGAAAGGACATTAAGGATTATTCAGCCCATTAGTTTCATTTACATGGAAGGAAACCGAACCTCGGAGAGGTTGTCTAAGCCCATGGCAGAAGAGAGATCCCAGGATTTAAAAGCAAAGAAAAGCACATCTTAATTAAGTTGACAACAACCTTTCAAGATACAAATTATTATTCCCAATTTTTAAAAAATGCAGTCACCAGGATGGCTAAGGACAGACAACAGTGTTAGCAAGGATAGGAAACGATCGGACCTCTTATGAAGTGCTGGTATTGTCTCCTGAAGCTGAATATAGCATATTGTATAGCCCAGAAATTCTGCTTCTTTGTATATACTCTAAAGAAATTCCTGTACCAAAGTATATAATGTTCATAGCAGAACAATTCGGAGTTGCCTAGAAACCCAGGTGTTCATCAGCAATAGAACACAGAAGTGAATTCTGGTATCGTCATACAATGGACTATTATATGGCAATGAGAACGAATGATCTGTAGCTACACATACAGAAGTATCTCATAAACATATGTGGAGAGAAAGACAGTCAACACAAGAAGGAATACCTTGTATAATTGCATAATTTGCAAAAATAGGCAAAATTACTCTATGATTAGAAGTCAGGATAATGCTTATCTTTGGTAACGGGTAGAAAGTTTAACCAGAAGGGGGCACAGCCCCACTTCCAGGGTACTACCAGCATTCTGTTTCTTGATGTGAATGTGCTTATTACATGGGTATAATTTGTTTTGTGAAAAGTTCACCAAGCTGTACTCATGATATGCACACTTTTCTGTATATATCTTTCATTCAGTAACCTCAAACAGAGAAACAAGTTTCATTGTTAGTAAGTGACAGAGCCAGGATCCAGCCACCCCAAGTCCAACATTCCTGCCAATACCAGAGAATCTCTCAAGTGCATACTTAAGACCAGGATATGACCACTGAGATACCACAGAGCTCTCAAAATGTACAGCTCTCCCAAATTTCTCCCTGGTCATGAACTGGCCCCTGACATTTCAGGCCTTCTGTGAAAGCCGCTACGGAAGGGCAGACTGATACAGTTACACAATACACAGAAGAGAATACTCCGTGCCAGTGTTTTAAAAGGAAAACCCACTTGAAAGATCAAACTTATCCAGTAGTTGTGTTGTCTGTATACCCAATGAGAAATACTTAGACACTTCAAAAATAGAAATGATTTTAAGGGTCAAATTTCATAAATGGATGGGTAACATCATAAAAGCATGATCCTTCCATGTTGTTTACCAACCTCGTTGACACTGAGAGTTAGTGTCAACAAATTCAACAACACAAAGGAATTAAAACACAGAGATTATTATTATTGGCATACCTGAAAAGTTTCAAGTTCCATCCTCAAAGACTGTAAATCTATGCTCTTTGATACATGATAACTCCACGAGGAGATGCAAAGTATGGGAAACTAGGGGTGTGGATGAAGGGTAATAATTTTCACAGCATGTACAATTACTCTGTAACTATTACATGCTAAAAAGTACATAATTATTATCAGTTATGTGGTAAGTTCATAAATCATTTGGGTCTAAATACATGATTCTTTGAAAAAAAATTAAGCTCAGGGAAGACATGAGCAGAATTTCTTTGATGAAAAGAGCAAATTGAAAACTCTTTTTAAAAATTTCTCTACTTTCATACTGCCATCTGCTGTTTACTTAGAAAAATATCTTGGTCTCAGAGATTTAAAACAGAATTTTAGAGCTGAAAGAGGCCTTGGATAGAGTCCAAACACCACATTTTTAGAATGATAAAACTGGAACTCAGAAAGATCTTGCAATTTGACCAAGAATCCATAGCCAATCAATGAGAGGGCTAAGGCCAAAGTCAGCTTAGCATTCTTCCCAACTGAGAAGTATTTCAAGTGACACCTAAAAATCAAAATATTAGTAAAACTCTAATGTACATTTGTTAATATCTTACAGCTTAAGAGGTCCTATGAATTTATGGCAGATGAAAATGTAACATCCATGCTTGTTTTGGTGTTTAAAAGTTCAGAGCAAATTATTTTATTCTCATCCTAGAACCACAGTATTTCTAGATTCTGTTTATATGGATTTAAATCACAGTAGCCCCGTATTTCATCAATAACAATCAGGGAAAAGTATAAATGGAATTGACCACTAAGTCACATCTGCAAGACATGACACACTTACGTGTTTAGCTCTTAGTAATAGCAGGCAAGTTTCCCTAGATGAGAAACCATAGAGTACTCCTCAGTGCTGGACGAGTTTCAAGAGATAAATACAATGGAAGGACAACTCTCAGGGGAGATTACTTACAACGCTTCAGGTCTTGTACTTTACAGAAGGCGCCTTTGGAACAAAAGTTAGTTTATTCATAATATGAGCCAGTGCTTCCCTCTATGGAAAGTTGTAAAATTTTAGAAAAAAGGAAGAAGGAAGCTTCATCATCTGTGTGCCAGTTTTTAATTTTAACAAGCAAAGTCAGTTTTTAAAATGCAACAGCCTTCTATTATCTCTGCCATTTCATTTAAGAGAAAGAAGGGATCTTTTAATAAGGAAATAGTGAGAATACATCATTTGCGAATAAAATGGAAGATAGTGAGAAGATAGCGGGAAGCTAATACATACCAAGGATCAATGCCTTCATATTCATTTTGCCTTCAGTGAAAATGTTTCTCGAAACTACAATTGTGTGTATACTGGCGTTTGGGAGACATTATTACTATTACTATAGTCTGGGAGATTAATGTTGACAAGTTGGGGGAACTGAAAGTTCTTTAGTCCTTGGCTAAATGTTAAGTGACAGAGCCGCCAGTCAGCACAGAATGGTCTCAGGATGGTAGATGGCGGTGCGGGGCACTAAGAGGGGAACAGCTCTCTCCTTCCGAGTGTATGGTATTCAGGGCTCTTAAAGATATTCTATTCTCCTAGCAACATTTTTGGCACAGTGGGGACACATTCACTCAAAAAAAGTAAGAACCTGTATGTTAGGAAATAACCCTACAAACTGAGGTAAGGAGCAAAGAAAGTGAGGAAGATAAGGATGGGATTTTGAGCCCTGCAACCTCGTAAGTACAAAATGAAACCAAAAACATAAAATAATTTGTTACTAGTCATCTGCAAATCAGACTGATTGAGGTAATTTTCAGCCAATTAAGGGAATAAAAAGGGAAGTGAAAGTGAAAATTCTAACTGAAAAAGTGTTTTGTTATGATCACGGGTGAATTAAGAAAATGAGAAGAATGAATTATTCTAAGGAAGTCAGAACGATCTACAAGTAAGTGGTGAAATTGTTTCCTTCAGCCCTCAGGGTAATTTAGGAAGAAACAACAGAGCTACATTTTTGCTGGCTGTTCAAAGTAGCACGGAGGAAGAATCCATTTCTTAAAATTTTAAAGTATGTTGGTAACATTATATTTAGGTCTGCATTCATTAAACGAAAAACTAAGTATTTGCTCACTGTCTTCCCTTCACTATTTACCAAGTGTCCTCTCGAGCAACTCTACACAATAGAAATACAAGGACTCGGACACGTGAGCCACATATGGAACTCTAAACTCCCTCGGAGGCACATTAGAAAAATAAAAAGAGGTAAAATTAATTTAAGTAATACATTTTATCTCACTCAATACATCTAAAGCCTTATCATTTCAACACTGCAATATCATTAATGAGAAATTTGATATTCTTCTGTTTTGTAGTAAGGTTTTGAAATCCAGTGTGAATTTTTTACACTTAGAGTACATCTCAACTTGAACTTGCCACCTTTCAAGTGCTCAATAGCCATATGTGGTGGGTGGCTGCTGTGCTGGACAGCACAGCCCTGGAGTCTCATATCATGGCAGAAGCACAGAGAGGAGGACACACAATCTAAGACCTAACCCAGAAGACAAAATAAACACACAAGGGTTCAATTAAAATCCAAGGTCACAGACAAGAGGCACC